TTCCGAGCATTGACGGGCCATCGATGACCGCACCCGAGGAATGAGACGACCACGTTCTTCTATCGATAGCGTACAAGCATATATTTTTACGTCTACGAGCCCTAGAACAATAAAGGATTTTCTCAAGGACCTCCTGCGAGCGCAAGAATGTTTGCAACAGCGTGCTCGGCAGCAGACATGAGCGTGCCCTGAGGATTACCCGTGGGCAGGTGGGGAATGATACCAGCATCGACAACAAACTGCGTGCGCCAAGTTAGCTATGATGGTTGTTCAGGTCCGCGAGCACTCACCAGATTGTTGGTGTTGAAGACCTTGGCGTTTTCATCTACGACCGCGTTCTGCGCGGAAGAACCGATCGTCGTGGTCGAAACCCAGTGGTTCGAGTTCATCGTCGAAGGGTCGTACTCGTTGACATACTCCTCCATCGTCAGGGTATTGTCCGGCACGACCAAAGTGAGGCCTGGGACGGAGTCCATGTTCGAGATGACGTCGTTCAGGGCCTGGAGGATCACGGTCTTGTCATCCGCATTCACGAGCCACGGGGCCGTGAGCACTGTTCCGCGTAGCGCGGCGTCGATACCGACGCGTCCCCGAGACTGGATACCAGTCGAGAGGTAGACGGTGATCGTGAACAGCTGACTTGAGTTGTACGATAACGACGTGTTCAGGGGGAGAGATGCACCCGGGCGAACAGTTCCTTGAGCCTGCATGCATAAATTGTGAGCGCGGCACCTGTGCCGACAGGAAAATCACATACATAACGGGTAAAGCCATCGGAACCCGAGTACGCGCGCCAGAAGTTAACTCTGCAAAACCGCTGTCAAACAAAAAGTGACATCATGCGAAGCGCGACACTGACCTAGGAGAAGCACTGGCAAAGACACCGGACTGGTTCTCGAGGTATTGGGCTGCGTCAGCCGGCCGTGGGTCGCTCCAGACGTCGGCCCAGTTTTCGTAGGCGTCAACGCTGGGGTGAGTGAACACCAGCTGCGCTGAAATCAGCCCGGCAAACGATCACAAGTTGCAGCAGCGACGTACGTTGATCGAAGGATTGTCCTGGGCGTTGTAGCCAACGGGGAGATCGATCCACTGATCCTGCGGTGGAAGCGCCGCCGCCGCAGTCGAGCTGCCTTGCACGATCTGGAGCATGTCTGTGGGGCCGATACCACTCTGGAAGAGAATACGCGAGGTGCCGAAGGCGCCACCAGACAGAACGACACGGCCGTTCGTGGTCAGTGGAATGAAGCCATTGGGGCCCAGCGTAGTGTCGTTCGTCTGGACACCGAGGATTTGCGAGCCGTTGCGAACGACGTTGGAGACCATGACATTCTGCTTGAAAGTAAAGTTGGGGCGGGCCAGTGCCGTTTGGAGATAGGTGGCAACAGGGCCGGCACGCTTTCCGTTGAGGAACTAGAGCATAGGACGGTCGGTCAGCGTGGGTCACTGGTTTCGAAGGTTCGACGTACATCGAAAGAACTATAACCATACACGTGGTCCTTATAGTTGGGATTGTCGTTGATAGTGATGTTGCTGTATCCTTGGCCGCTGAGAAGCTGAGACATAACGCCGAATGTCTGCTCGAGGTAGCGCTCGCCGTCGGTCGAAGGGTGATCCGTGCTAGGAAGGCGGGCCTGTACCATGCTAGTATACGGGGTGTGATTTTCCCAGCTGCTGGGCCAACCAACACTCGACGAGAAATCTTGGGTGTTGGGGTACCAGTAGAGACTACTTGCCTTGAGCGCCGGTTGGATGTAAATGAGAATTAGTGGCGACTCACGCTCCATTAACAGATGTACCGCCTCCAACAAGGCATCCAGCAAAGACAGTTACGTCTATTTTTCACGTGAGCCGTCAGACTAGCTATGTGAAGCAGGACAATTCACCTTTGCACCACCAGAAGTCATCGGGGTCGGTGAAGAGAGACTCGAACAGCCCGGGAATGTCGAATTTGGTCAGCTGAAAGTGACAAATTTAGCGTTAGCGTTGTCATTAAGCGGAGTAGGACAACATACACCGCTGCCCTCAGCCCAAGGAGCAACATAGGTTCCACCGGTCTCTTGGGTACTGGGACCGCCGCGCTCGAGAAGGAGGACTTTCTTGCCAGCTTGCGAAAGACGATCAGCACTAATAATACCGCCAGGTCCGGCACCAACGACGATATAATCGTAGGGCGTTGCCTACGATTGCTAGTGAGCCAATATTGAAACCCAGAAACGGCCAGCCGCTTACAGATGCGGTTGGTCCAGTGCTGGTCGAAGAGCTCGTGCTCGTTGGCGTGCTGGACGTGGTGGTAGGGTTTCCCGCATTGCCAGCCAGATAGTTCTGGTAGTTGGAGCTGTGGGCAGAGGAATAGTCGATGCCGAAGAAACCGAAGTCGGTGTGCTCGCTGAAAGTACTTTCAGCATCTGAGGGGTCATCCACAGCAACGTTCGAGAACGCCCACGCAAGGACGCCCTCGCTGGTGACGTCGATGCCTTCGCCGTTGTTCCACTCTTATAATAGCCACAAATCAGATGGTGCAGATCCTTTCAAAGTAGATGCGCGTACCAGTGCATCCCTGGCACCTGAAGACCCATTGCCAATGCGTGGAGTTCACCTTCGTTTCAGATAGAGTGGTAAGAGTAGCTTGACCGGTATAAGCACTGCAAAGAGGAGCCTTAGCAGGGCAGGAATTCAACTGGACACGAACACTTACATCGGTTGTATGTAGTCGCTGCCAGATACTAATTAGCTGCTGCTCGTGACTTTGAACACGATATTGACGTACGTAGCCCAGCGGGTGGAAGAGACGATCTCGTTGCCATTCGGCCATGCAACAAGTAGCAAATCTCCGATCATTTCACCGCCCAACGCAATACCGATCCATTGGGCCTCAATAGGTGCGACGACTTCTCCAATGAACTCAGTCGACTGGTTGCCGGAGGTGACCAGTGGCGGGAAGACAAAGCCGTACGTCACATCATGAACAGGGTCGGTGAGACCAGTGAACTGAAATCCGGTTACAGGATCGGTGAACTGTGAAGCACTCTGCGAGAACGCTTTGTGCCCGCCGGCGTTAGCAGTCAAGTCTTCCAGAAGCACGAAACAGGCGTACCGACGCCTATGAGAGGCAGAAGCGCGAGCAAGGATCGACGCAGCATGGTGTATGCGACCAAAAGGGCTACCGCGTTTCGCTGCTGCTATCCACCTCTCTCTGTCTTTAAGGCAGCCCAGCTCTATTTGCTTTCCGAGATGGGCGAGGATATGCCGACAGTTGAGAAAAGAAATCCAAGTTCAGATATTGGCCGACGGCCCTCGTGAGGCACATAGGAAAAGATCCGCTACGGTATATCGTGGCACATGCGTATTTCTGGTCGACAAGGCGCGTTGTGCAGTTCATGTACGGGCGCGAATGCACGCAGCGGAAACACGTCGGATACCTGTACCTGCTCGTGATCATGATCGTAACGAAAGTGAGTAAAGGCGACAGACATTGGTGGTAACACCGAAGTATAGTCGCAGGGGAAAGGCGTTACCGACTGTGCGCGTGAGCAGTATATAGGGTGCGTCCTTGCGGGTATCGAGCACTATCTTGCACCGGGCGCGACATGGCGCGCAGTGCCACCCGACGAAAACCCGACCAATAGCCTCGGCATAATCGAAGAACATAGGACACTAGGATGTAGCTGATATTGAGGATTATGAAGCGACCCAGGAACAAGGTTCTGGTTCAAGAAGTGTGGAGTTGCGCGCCTCCCCCGCGGGGAAGATCAGACTGGGGGCATGCGGGGCCAGAATTAGGAACAGCACGACTGACCAAGGCGGTACCGCAAAAGCCGGTACTTACACGTGACACACCTGCTGTGGCATTGACTCGTCACAATCTCCGGAAATTCGTCGACAGGGTCACATGTAGCGGCGCCGCTGGGAGGACGATTGCAATACGGTGCGGGGAAAGCATGTCTCGCGTGCGACCGAGCTGTAAGATAGATGCATTGCGTATCTATCCTAGAGACAGATGACCTTCAAGTGCTGAGATAAGAGTGAAGGATGACTATTGTCGTCGTGGTCGCAGGGTAAGATGCAACTGTCTGAATCAGGAAGGCTAGGACTTTAGATCCTAGCAGGGCCAAACAAAACGCGGAGCCATCCTGAAGCTCCGATTGGCTCCTGAGCTCGACGGCCTGGGGCCAACTAGTCAAATAGTACAGACACTTGTACACAGACAGCTACTTCGTGCTGACATACTGTTTTTACTTATGCTGTTTCTCTGTCCTAACGATATCTATTCCTATTCAGAGGTCTTCTGTAATGTCCATCATAGCTTCCTGTGAAGTCTTGCATCGCCATCCATAGATCTCACGAACGCATAAGAATAGACTTGAATGATCAATGCATACGAACCTATTTCAGTTCTGTGGTGCAATCTCACTGTCTTACTGTCTCCGAGCACCGAAGTGCCTTCTCCCGAGTAACCACCGCGTCATGCTGTGAAGCTCCGGAGTATAGAGTAGTCAATTTATGTTTAGCCCGTAACTGATTGGTTCTTCCAATAATTACAAGTATACCATATAGGTGGTCACTCGGCCGTCGCAATGTATTGTGTGCGAAGGAACAGGTACATCAAACTCCTGTTTCAGGTAACCACAGCTCTCTTCTCCGCGAAGAGCTAGTCTTAAGGACAGCGTGCACAGAGAGTCTGCGTCCATCGGAAACAAGTCCAGATGACCCGTCAGCCGCATCCTGATATAGACCGGACTCAGTCGCTGAGGCGGCTGCCCTTGATCTAAAGCCCAGTAATGATTTTCGAGAACGTGGCTCGTACATCGTTTATGTGTAAACTTATTTACCATCTTCTCTGAGTCGAAGCAGGGCCAGCGCATGGAGCGGCAATGAGGTCAGATCACACCGCTCTCGAAAGCTCGCGTCTAGCACGAACCGGTGATACCCGGGGCCGGACTGGAAGTATAGACGCCTAAGCCGAGACTGGTACTCTTGACTTCGAGACATACGACCAATCGTAGTTGGGATATTTTGCAAGTGAGAACTATTATTTGACTTGTGTATCCCTCTCCTTTTGAAGAGGCAAGTTTCGCGGAGGCAAAACGGTGTGATCGTTAGCGGGCGCTTATGGTATGTGGTGAGCGTCGGGTGTTGGTTGAAGTTGTTCTTGTTCCATCTGGTCAGCATACGACCTCGACGATTTTTCACTCTCTATTTTGTAAACCTTGCAAGCGACTAACGTCCCCTGGCATCTTAGGACGCGCCTCTCCTTTATTTTACTCTATTATTCGCATCGGCGAAAATCACCACCGACTTGATATCCTCATCTGTCTCACTCGGCTGTCGCAGAGCCTTCCCACCCATCTCCTGACGGTTATCTGACATCCTTGTTCTGGCAATAGAACAGGACTCATTGCCTCGCTAACTTCTTGACGTTCCCCATATCTCGTCGCGAATATGTCTGCTTCGTCATCGCACACCCCCTCAGCCTCTATGGACGCAGGTCCAAGCTTTCAGAATTCGCGACAATCTGAGAATGGTGATGATAAGAACAGGTGCGTGTTGTTCTTATGTATACACATCAATTCGCTGGTGTGACTAACGTTCGCGTCGCCTGACTACACTTAGCAGTGTGGTCATCAAAGTCGGTATGGTGGGGGATTCGCAGATTGGCAAGACGAGTCTGATGGTGAAGTATGTCGAGGGAAGCTTTGATGAGGATTACATTCAGACCCTTGGTACGTGCGTCTGTTATCGTCACATCTACCTACTTCGATGGCTCTTGCCATGACTTAGGTGTCAACTTCATGGAGAAGACGATCACCGTGCGGCGAACGACAATCACTTTCTCGATCTGGGATCTTGGTGGGCAGCGCGAATTCGTGAACATGTTGCCTCTCGTGTGCAACGATGCAGTGGCGATTCTTTTCATGTTCGACCTGTCACGAAAGTCGACATTGAACTCTGTGAAGGAATGGTATCGACAAGCACGTGGATTCAACAAGGTGCGTTCAAATTACTGAGGACCTCGCTTTATGAGTGTCAAGTAGCCTGTGGCCGCGCTTGGCGAACGTCCAGCGCTACCGTGTCGATAAATTGTAGCTCATTTCTTTGTGCAGACCGCCATACCCTTCTTGATTGGCACTAAATTCGACACTTTCTCTACTTTCCCTCGGGACGAACAAGAAGAGATCACGAAGCAGGTGAGGATGTGTCACGTGCAGTCATTCTCATCATTCATTTCGTCCGTCCCTATCCATTAAGGCCAAACGGTTTGCGAAAGCAATGCACGCATCCTTAATCTTCTGCTCAACATCGGCGTCCATCAATGTCCAGAAGATTTTTAAAATCGTGCTGGCTAAGGCATTCGACCTCAAATGCGTTATTCCCGAGATTGAAGGCGTGGGAGAGCCAATACTGCTTTATGTCGACGTATGAAAAGCGCTCCGGTGTGACATCAGCCGTGCGGAGAGAGAGGCGGTCTCTCTCGTCGCAGGCCAGGGAAGGATGCCATGTATGGTCACATAGTACGTAATTGATTCGACCTATTGGACTCGTTCTAACAATTGTACCTTGTGAAGCTGCTCCTTCCCGTGCTCCCATCCTCTCCCTAGATTTACCACGGCTGAGAATACTGGTCCGAAGGTCAGCCTCGATGCAGCCTCGAGATGCTCTACGTCAACTGCAGAAACGGACTGGCATTTTGCTCTGCAGGCTCTTCTCCTTCCGCCACATTCGTTTTCCGTTGATAATTCCTCAACCGATGTATTTTCTTGTCTGCCTCCTTCCCACCGCATCCCCCGTCTAATCCACACCACGTCGTCGCTTTGTTGATTTGTCTGCACACCATCATCTTCCATGTCGCTTTTGGCCATCGTCGCACAGCTATATAATCATGTTGTCCTCAATCAATATCCATCTAGACTCTTGCTAGTACCGTAATTAGCCCGTGTGGGACTATTTCAATTCAAATGCTCCAGTACAACCAGCGTCGCGCCGGCACATTTTGCGCCACGGCGGTGAGGAGCGCCGGTGGAAGTCTGTGATCTCAACCACCACCATACACAATGCAAGTTTCATTAGCACACAAGCGCAACTTTTGACTGGCGCATGTTCCAAGGTGTATAGAACCTTGCTTAGGGACATGCGGTGACAGGCTGCTATGGTAGATGTTGGCCACGCAGTCGCAGGACCGTCAGTCCCATCAGCGAGTTTGGACGTTTGCGTTGGGACCACCGCATGTATATTGGTCAGCCCTACCTCAAATTTGATGCTCGGATGCATTGACAGCCTGCGTACAGGATAGACTTCACCGTTAGACGACCGGCTTGGCTGCCTGTAACTGGGCGGGTGCCCTGTACAGCGAGAGCCACCCGCTAAGCTTTTTGTCAAAGAGCCGTCATAGGGCTCCAAGCCAAGAGCTCAGTATTTCAGCCACTGAATGAGCTACCATATGTGCATTCTAGAGGCCATATGTTGTGGCCACTGTCAGCAGACCTGAGCTTGTCCGAGACCACCGTCGGGCAAATATGCCTGAGCCGCCCAGGCGCGACTTCGGAACGGAGGCCCAGCGAACCGCATGGTAACGTCTTCTGTCATCTGAAGCTTCACACCTCGCCAAGATAGCTTCGATCCACCGCTTTGCAATGATCAGCTGGTCACGGTGAGCCCCTGCAGCAAGCAAGCAGCTTTAAGAAAGTGACTATCCCGGACTAGATGTCTTTAGACCCGCGAGCAGACATCATAACATTTAAATTGGATATCTTGTTGCCTTACAGGCGCTATCTGAGGGGCAGACTCGAATTGGCGTTGTCAGCGATAGAACTTCGGATGCCAGTGTCATTTCCACACCGCGGTCGTGCTCAACTGCTTCTCAGGTGAGCTCGTCGCCTCGCTGTTGTCTTATCTCATGGATTTCGTATGATAGGGCTTCTAAGGGTCCTAGTCCATTCGCAGATATGTCCGACGACGTGACTCGTTCTGTCGTCTCAGATGGCTGCCGAAGACGCATTGGACGACGCGATCTCAAACCGTTCTTCTTGATCCACCATGCTGGGACAACCTCGTGCACACGACTGTAGAGACCGCATGGAGTTGCTTTCGTCGGTCAAACAAACTACATAGATCATCGGCCTTGCGATATGGGTCAAGTATCACAAGGTCGAGGACCATGCACGCGAAACATATACGGCAACGTCTGCTGGAGATGAGGGCCAGACAGATATATTAGCTGCGAGGAATTCTCGTCGAGAGCCCAGAGAACCCTCCAGAAGCGTTCTCCAAGAGTCTGCTCGAGTTACCATCCTCCCCCGGACACACTTGTCATGTTCCTCTCAGCTCGGTTCATGCGGGCGTTTCTGGCTCTTGCAGCCTGTATGACCTTGGTCTCTGCGACCCAGGTTATGCAAAGGCCTTCGAATTACAAGGATGCCCCTCATAAATACCCTCAGGGACAGTCTGTTCCTCGTATTATCCACAAGAGGTCCGGAGCTAAGGCCAATATTGGGTACTTCACCAATTGGTGAGCTCAATCGTGAACCATTGGCTTGCAGACGCGTTTCTCGTGTGCTCAACGAACAACTCTCTAGGGGTATTTATGGCGCGAACTTCCGTGCGTTTGTCTCTTTTGATGTTTGAAACTGGTATTGAATAGTTCGACAGAGCCTACGGACATTAATCCTGGCCCTCTGACTCACATCCTCTACGCCTTTGCCGATGTCTCACCCGATACCGGAAACATCACTCTCACCGACAGCTACGCAGATGAGCAGGTACGGGCGACCTTACAGATTTAATGGTGGGCTTATCGCTGACGACTAGTTCCAGAAACACTTCCCCGGAGACTCCTGGGACGAACCCGGAAACAACCTGTACGGCTGTCTAAAGCAGATGTTCTTGCTCAAGATGGCCCACAGAAATCTCAAAGTCTCTCTCTCAGTTGGAGGATGGACCTACTCTCAGGACGGCCACTTCAGCTTTGTGACCGACGCGACCAAGCGCCAGACCTTTGTCGAGAGCGCCCTCCAGCTCATGGAGGACTACGGCTTTGATGGTCTCGATCTCGACTTCGAGTACCCTAGTTCGACTGCACAGGGTCAAGGTTTTGCTGATCTGATCACGTCACTGCGGTCCGCCTTCGACACTTACCAAGCTCAGAAAGGGGATGCTACACCCTACCTGCTCACCGTACGTCCTCAATAATCATATCTCACAGTTCAGTGCCCGAACATGTTATAGAGCGCGGTTTCTGCCGGTGCAGCAAACTACGAGTATCTCATCGTTCCCCAAATTGACCAGGTAGACGACCTTCACTGATATATACGCGATACGGATCTTTCCTCATTCATTGATTCGCAGGCGCTGACATACTGGAATCTCATGGCTTACGACTATGCTGGATCATGGCTTACCTGGGTGAGTATTTCACGAGCTATTTTCACGACCCTCAGGGTCTTACAGTTGATCTCATGTCATAGGCTGATAATCAAGCAAACCTCTACGATGGCGCCCGTACCAATGTTTCCACGGACGCTGCTATCAAGTGGTACCTTTCTCAGGGCGCCACTGCCGGTAAGATTGTTATGGGTCAGTCGATGTCAACACATTATCAGCCTCGCATTACTTACGGTAGATCAGGCATTCCCCTCTACGGTCGCGCTTTTGAGGACACTACTGGCCTCGGTGCCCCTTACAACGGTATTGGCCCGGGTACCATCTCTCCTGGTATCTACTCCTACTCGGACCTTCCCCTCGCTGGCGCCCAAGTCTACGAAAACCTCACGGATGTCAGCAGCTACTCCTATGACCCGGTTAAGATGGAGCTTGTTTCTTACGACACTCCTACCATCGCAAGCATTAAGGCACAATATGTGAACACCAACAATCTTGCCGGCAATATGTTCTGGGACGTGAGTGCATGTCAACTACTTCATCTGGGCGGCGACTGAGTCGTGCTCTCTCAGCTTTCCACTGATAAGACCGGAACGCCTGACTCGCTTGTCAGCACCACAGCGAACGTTTTTGGTGTCCTTGATCAGACTCTAAACCACCTTGACTACCCCAACAGCAAATGGGATAACATCCGGAATCAGATGGGCACCGCCCCTGGCAGCTCGCCCACTTCGTCTTCTACAGCCCCCACTACGACACCCACTGGCGGCTCCGGCTCCGGCCAGTGCGCTGGCGTGGCAGCTTGGAGCTCCAGTACCGCCTACAACGGCGGTCAGGCCGCTGTCTATGGTATGTCCCTAAAGCTCTTTGTGACCGGATCACGGCTTTACTCGTGTGACACAGGGTCGCACCTATGGACTGCGAAGTGGTGGACTCAGGGTGACACCCCCGGCGGATCAGGTATGCGCTCCAGCAGATCCAAATCGTGACCGGTCTAACCACCGTGTTCCAGCTGGTGTTTGGACTGATGATGGTGCATGCTGAATTTACAGTCAACGTGACCATAACTTAACGGATAGCGATCTCTTGACTCATGGATGCATCACGGCGCAGTACACCAGAATGCCTGTATAATAGACAAAGCACGAGAACATGTAACGACATATATATATTGTCGAATACTGCGAGATCCTATTGATGAAACTAGAAACACCAGGGCGAAGGAAAGCGAGACTAGAGATAGAGCGAAGAGCAGAAGATGACCGAGTTTGGCCTTTCCAGCATCTCTGACGCCTTGTCAAACTTTTCCTGCAGTTCCGTGTTGCCAATGACCTTCGCGGCTTGGCTCATCTGGCGGATGAGCTCTTGAAGTCGGCGGAAAACACGGATTAAACTTCCTTCGAATTGGTCGGTAAGCTACAGTGAGCGTTAGCACCGCAGCATGAAGGGCGACACAGAGGTAATTACGGACCTTGCAGATCTCGGAGAACGACGCGCCGCGGCACCACTGCACGACTGCGTCCATGAGCTCGACCTTGAACGACTGCACGTACTCGTCTTCGACGATGGGCAGCTTCGATTCTTTCGACACCTTGGCTATCCGCCGTGCAATCTCTTGCATGACGCGAAGAGGAGCAGCGAGCTCTTCCTTCAGCCGTGTTTGCTGCTCGCTCTGTAATGGGACTGGTCAGCGCCGCGTCCTTACAGGCGCAAAGCCGATAGCGGACCTTTTCTGTGAAGACAAAGCAGCTGAGGAGACCAGCACTCTGCTCGGGCGAGAGGGTATTAAAGGCACCGTTGAAGATTAGCTCTGTTAATAGCAGTTCGTCACCAGTGCTAATCTCGCACGCCACACGGCCCTTCATGTCGACGATGTCGGCCGAGCTGGTGAAGCCGAGACGGCGTAAGACGCGCTTTCGTGCCTTGAGCTCTTCCATCTGCAGCACATCGTGCGTCGCCTGTATCTTCCTTTTAAGCTCCCGCATCCGCTCCTGAGAGCTGACTTTCTGCTTGTATAGCGTGTACAGCTCTGGTAGCCGCGGATCCTTATGAAGCGAGCTCGAGAACATTTTTTGCTCCATGATCTCGATTTTCTGCGTGTAAATGTCAGCTCTGACGAACACGAAAGTGGAACAAAAGCGAAAGCGCATACCTTCACCAGCTGCTTAAATTTGTCATCGGTAATATGCATGTTCTGAACAGGATCCAGCAGGGGAATGCCGTCTGGGAAACGCCGGTGCACCTCCTGGATGGTCTTCCACACTGTTTCACGCGCCTGTGAGGAGCGGATGTCCTTCGGCAAGTGGACACGGAGATGGCTAATCGACTCAAGTGTGGATAGTAGCACGGGGACGACCTGCGGATCGCCCTTCTGACCTGGAGGACAGGGCAGAATGCCAGCAGGCGTCGGAGTGGTCGTCGCACGATCTTTCGGAAGGGTACCACCGAATGCGCAGTTCAGGAGGACATCGACGACATACTGTTCATGTGGCGGAACATCCTCTGCAACGGGCGTAGGTCGATTCTACACGTGTGATCAGCAATCCCGGGAGCACGTACAAATGGAAGCATCCGCACCTTCGGCGACTGGCGCTTTTGATAGTTGATAATGACACCCCAGCCAAAGTCCAGGTCTTGATACTTTATCTTGACAAGCCGACCAGGCTGGAGGAAGGGAAGGCTATAGCTAGGGTGCGTGATGACTTCGCGGAAGTCAGCAGCCATCTGATCTAGTTGCTGTCGGTATTCATAGTACTCGGATACGAGTTCCTCGTCGGAAACAACGATAGAAGCCTTCTTTTGTTCCTCCCTGCGAAGCTCTACATGCAAAGCGAACTAGTAAGCGCAATTCAAGAGTAGGGCAACGAGATGTGGCGACAAACCGTCTTCCAAAACCGGGACCCCAGCGTTGCTCTGGAACTGGAGAAAGCAGCGTTCAAGCATGTACTCGGGACTGATGCCCTCGACCTTCATCAAGTTGAGGACCATATTGTAGCCGAGGTGGAATGCGGAGTCAAGTCGGTCGGCCTCGCCCTTGATCATCTCCTTCGCAGCAGTCGGCTCGAGCTTTTCGTCGCACATCATGATGACCACACCGCGATCATCGAGACCACGACGACCAGCACGACCAGACATCTGGATATACTCTCCGGACGAGAGGTTGCGGAACTCGCGACCGTCAAACTTGCGTGCTGCGGTGAAGACAACAGTCTTCGCGGGCATGTTCAGACCAATGGAGAACGTTTCGGTGGCGAAAAGGATCTTGATCAGACCTTCTTGGAAAAGAATCTCGATGACCTCCTTGAGAATAGGAAGTAGACCACCGTGGTGGATGCCGATGCCACGCTTGAGGAGAGGGAGAAGATTGGAAATCTGAGGAAGCTGCCGATCGTCCGCGGACAAGTTGTCGATCGCATTATTGAAGATGTTTGTGACCATGTCTTGTTCGTCGGTGGAGTTGAACTCGAACTTGGTCATGGTCAGTGCAAGAGCTTCACACTCGCGCTTACTGAAAGCGAAGATAATGACCGGGTTGTAGTTCTTCTGCATGATCATCCTGATAATCTTCTGGATATCTGAAGGGCCTGCATAGGTGTTAGCATAGATGGTATTCATAACACGAAGTGACTAACCCTTCTTATCTCCACCTTTCTTGGTCTTGCCTTTACGTCCGCGACCGCCTTTTGGATCTGCAGGGTCTTCCCCTTGCCTCTCCTGGAGCATGCCCATCGCCTTTGTGAAGTTATCCTCCCTGAATTCGCCCTTCTCGTTGACAACTAGGTAGATACCCTCTCCGCCCGCGGGGAAGAGATAGTGCTGTAGTGGAGTAGGACGGAAATCGGTGTAGACAACATGACACGGCTGCTCATGCGACTTGCAAATCCATTCGGCGAACTGCATTGCGTTGGGAATCGTGGCGGAGAGAAAGACGTAGCGAACTGTATGCGGGAGGAGGATGATAGTTTCTTCCCAGACAACGCCACGCTCTTTATCGCGCATGTAGTGAATCTCGTCGAAGATGACCCAGGCAACTTCGCGCATAATCTCGGAACCACGGTATAGCATCGACCGAAGGATCTAGACGCCATTGTCAGAGCTAACTTCCTGGCAATGCGTGACTACTCACTTCAGTAGTCATGACTAGACATGTTGCTGAGGGGTTAATTGTGACGTCTCCTGTCATGAGGCCGACATCGCCAAACTCGGCGAGCATCTCACGGTACTTTTGGTTTGAGAGGGCCTATGTACGCTTTCTCAATATATTTGTTCGACGAACCATGTTGCAAACCACTGGCCTTGATAGGACTGGTGTAGATCACACGCTGCTTATTCTGCAGACAGCGCGCAATTGCATACTCAGCTACGACAGTCTTACCCGCACTCGTGTGAGCAGACACAAGTACACTCTCGTTACGCTGAATCGCATGCACCGACACTTGCTGGAAGGGGTCCAGCGTGAACTTGTATTCTCGTGCTGGTTTGGCAGGAGGTACATGATTCGCGATAGGTATGTAAGGATAACCAGGTGGCACCGCGACTTGATGTCTGACCTAAAGCGAGATGAGTCGAAGGCATGAGGTACTGGGTGTACGGTGCACACCTGATGGCGAAGCTCTAGCTTTGAGCCCGCCTCGACGGAACCTTGGAGCCCAGCGCTAGCCGCAACCTCTCGCTTTGCCTCTATCTCCACTTCGTCGGTGACCATGGGATTTGGCGACGACATGCGAGGTTTTTTAGGGTCAGATGGCCCAGCTTCGTTCTCTCCATCTAGAGGGGGTTCGGCGTCATCAGCGGGAGGTGCTGACACGCTATCTTCTTCCGCTTTGCGCTTCTTTGGAACCTCGCTGTGGTCATCGGTATCCATAGCATGCACACTGCTGATCTCGGATTCGTAGTCGTCCCCTTCTGGAGGGGTTTCATCGAGGAAAGAGAATAGGTCGCTGGAATTCATGTCGGCCGTAAGCTGTATCGTCGAGATATGCAAAATAAGAACTAGTAAACCGGCGAACCAGCGGGAGGATCACAAACGCAAAGAACCAGACCCAAATGAGAGGCGGTCGGCGGCGCCCAGTCGAACGTCGGACAGCTCAGCGGCCAGAGCAAGACTTAGTGTGACAGTAACTATGTAACGCGAGCGTAGTCACGTCATTGACGGTCGGTACCGGTCGGTGACGGGCCGGGTTGACATTTGACCTTCATCGTCGCGGAAGCTACAGCAGTCTTGGCTCAGACATTCGCACATCGTATCACGGAGACATCGCTGCTTTCTGTTCATGAGGCCACATATTCCAGGCCCTCAGTAGCACTTCTCAGCCGACGACAGCTCAGAACCTAAGATTCAGAGCAATTCACTCGTTTGCCTGGGTCGTCTAAATTGCACATCCTTCGGCAAGTCCACGATGTCTGCTGCGCGCCACCGCATTATTTTCGCGGATAGGGGCTCTCACTTCTACAGTACAGTCAGTCAGCGGTCACGAGATGCATCTAGATCCTGCAGACGAACATCCGGGCTCGACCCGCCCGACCCGACGACCGAGACGACGCAGCGGACCTCCGCGAAATATTGTCGAGTGTCCTCATTTCATCTCCGCGCTCGACGAAACACTGAGCGATCGCAAGGCAGCCTATGCTCCGTATTTTTATTTCACCTCCACCTCCACATGCGACAGTGGGCCCATGCTGTTTCGTTGCCCCGCATCTGCAGCGGCCTGGAGATAAGAGACGCCCAAGCCTGTTCGAGGCAGTTCCGGGATGCGTACCGTCCAGGTTCAGAATCATTGTGCGTATCTCATTCAATCACCGTGGGATAACTGAGTCTGACGTTGAACTTCGTGTGTCTCACAGATTCTGACGAGTGCTAAGCAAGCACAGCATCCTCCCAGGGCTGCGCAAAGAATCTGCACCGGCTCGGCATACAAAGGAATGGATAGGCTCAGCTGACACCACTCGCTGATAGCGTGTGTACTTTGAATTGCCTAGTGCCCTACTTTTGTCCACGGGTCACAGTTACATACGACCTGCCGGCCTTGCTATGTCGTCAGGTTGTGATGGCAGAAGCATCCATCTGTTTCGTCTCATACAGTCTAGTTAGTCAGGGACTGGCTTCCAGTCAACTGACTCCCTCGAACCCTGGCGTTACCGCGGCTATCCAGGACGAACACTCGACGTAGCCTGGGCGGTGAACCCCGTTTGTCAAGCTTCGCGGACCTGAAACTCGCGGAAGTATTCTTGTCAGGAGCTACGATTGCAGTTCTGCTGACATATGTGCACGTGCAACGCGATCGACAAATCTCTAGCTCACAGGACCTGCTGACCATATCCAGGGCTTCTCATAGGCTCAAGCCTGAAGACAATATAAAGCTCAGCTCTATCGCAGGAGCATACTTCAGGATCCCTTTCCTAACCCTCTTCACCCCGGACTCTCCTATCTAGCAAGATGCCGACCAAGCGCGCTCTGGAAGCTCAAGACAAAGCGGTCTACACGACCTCCAGCGGTGCCCCCGTTGCCGAACCCTACGCCGCTCAGCGCGTTGGCAACAACGGACCCCTCCTCCTTCAAGGTGAGTCTCCATACCTTCCGCGTTCACCAACGATATTAACTCCATTGTTCCAGACTTCTCCTTGATCGACTCCCTTGCGCACTTCGATAGAGAGCGCATCCCAGAGCGTGTTGTGAGTCAAGTCTTTCCTGCGTCTACGCTCCCGTCCATAACCGTCCGCTCCTCTAGGTGCATGCTAAGGGTGCAGGATGCCACGGCTTCTTTGAGGTCACTCACGACATTACCGACTTGTCATGCGCTGCCCTCTTCAGCGAGGTCGGCAAGAAGACCCCTGTGACCATGCGCTTCTCGACAGTCGGTGGAGAGCTTGGTTCTGCTGACTCTGCTCGTGACCCCCGAGGTATGTCTTTCGCAACCTGGCAGTCGAGCCTGCCTGACCTCGACTGCAGGTTTCGCTATCAAGCTGAAGACGGAGCATGGAAACCTCGACTGGGTGTTCAACAACACTCCAATTTTCTTCATCCGCGACCCAGCGAAGTTCCCACACTTCATCCACACTCAAAAGCGCGACCCGGAGACTCACCTCAAGGATGCCGATCCGTTCTGGGACTACTTCTCCCTGAACCCAGAGTCAATTCACCAGGTCATGATCTTGTTCTCCGACCGCGGAACTCCTTACGGCTTCCATCATATGCACGGCTACTCGGGACACACCTATAAGTTCGTCAACGCTGAAGGCAAATTCGTTTATGTCCAAATTCACGTCCGTAAGGAGGGCGGCTTCAAGACTATCGACAACGCTACTGCGGGTAAGCTCGCGGGTGAAAACCCCGACTACGGTATCGAGCTTCTCCACAACGACGTCGCCGCAGGCAAATTCCCTGAGTGGAAGTTGTTCGTGGTATGTATCTGCTGCTTGTCTCGCACCTCCCGTCATCTGATTCATGTCGCCGCAGCAAACCATGACCCCTGAGCAGGCTGAGAAGTTCCGTTACAACATTTGCGACCTGACCAAGGTCTGGCCGCACGCAGAGTTCCCCCTCCGCCCCTTCGGCAAGATAGTGCTTAACAAGAACCCCGAGAACTACTTCGCCGAGGTGGAACAGGTGGCCTTCTCGCCCTCGCACACTGTCCCCGGTTTCGAGCCGTCCAACGACCCGGTTCTGCAGTCCCGTCTGTTCTCGTACCCTGACACCCATCGTCACCGTCTCGGCACCAACTACCAGCAGCTGCCGGTCAACAGGCCTCTCGTCCCGATCGCGAACTTCCAGCGCGACGGCCCGATGGCGTTCGAGAACCAGGGCACGCGCCCGAACTACCAGAGCTCCCTTGTCCCGCTCACCTACAAGCCCAAGCCGTACGAACAGGTCAAGCACGAGACGTGGCTCGCCGCTGCGAAGACCGACCTCAGCTTCATCACCGAGCGTATGTATCTCCTGCACTCTTTGATAGCGGGACGTGGGCTGACCGTCGCCGTGTGCAGTCGACTTCGAGCAGCCCCGCGCGCTCTGGCAGAAGGTCTTCGACAACACCCAGAAGGAGCACTTCGTCTCCAACGTTGCTGGACACTTTGGCAACGTCAAGAGCCCGGAGGTCAAGGCTAGGCAGCGTAAGTGTCCCTTAACACTCGTCTCGTTGGATAATGTCTCATATGGTGGTCCGCAGTCTCTGTCTTCGCTGCCGTCGACCAGGACCTCTCCGACCGCATCGCCAAGGCCATCGGTCACCCATCGGTCAAGCCCTTGTCGGTCGCCCCCGCCGCGCAGGCCATCCGCTTCCAGTACAACCAGAGTGCTTAAGAGAAGACTGGTCCCAAATCTCAACTGTATCACTAGAGTTGCTCGTGCCCTACTCTTGGGCGGGTTGACTGGCTCATGTAGTCATATTGTTAAGTTCTGTACAAGCATACACAATCGAAATCCTAAGTGTACAATCTTCTCGGGACGTGATCATAGATGAGTGCATGCTTGCTGGGTAAACCTAGGAGTGGGGCATGCGGTGTCGGATCGATAAAGATGGCACCATCGTCCTAAACATGTCTCGCCTTCTGAAATGCTGGTGAGCTCGTCCTGACTGAGGGTTTTGTGCGCAGTAAGAGGGTTGCCGGCCGCGCTGTTTCAAATGGCGTCCATTCAGTTGTGCACCTGTCTACTGTACTGTTGATCCTCAACCGACCCGCCTTGAACGCTTCTAGAGGAGTCTCGTTCGTCACGAGGCTTCGCAGCAGCACAGGATAGTCATAATGCCGTCGAATCTGGGTCACGAGTGTTACAAAGAATAAGCATGAGGAACCCATCAAACCGCGACTAAACTATGTCGCAACAGACCATCTTTCTTCCGCACAAAGGGGTACAGGGCTTATTTCAAAGGGTGGCGGCGATGGGTCGCTAGCCTAGAACAAGACTTGAAGGACGATCACCGAAAAAGGGATTGGCGAGAAACCTAATGCCGGGCTTCATAAGTCGCGCGTCCCAGAGCGAGTCAGTTGCTAGAGCATCTTTCTAGGTCCGACTCCAGCTTTCTATTCGACTTGCGGCCCGGAGTCGAAGAATTCGACCGCAGAACGCAGGTAAGAAAGAAAGCGCGATGAACGTGCGATTGAGCGAACCACAGGTGGGGGAACGCCCGGAGACCTTCAATGATCGCATAAGCACGCACAGACAACTACCGGCAATGAGACCCTTGATAGTCACATGGACATGGGACAACGCAACGCAATAATTGCGATGGACGGACGAACGACGAGGACGAATCCTGAGAAGACAGCGCAGACGTGGCGGAAAGGAGTGTGACGCAACATCACCGGCAAGGCGCATAGAACGCATTAGGCGACACGATGACGCGATGAGCGCAGAACACAAGACGCAGGAGAATGGCGGAGCGCATGTGGCGTGAGATGGTCAACAGAGAGCGCAAACGCATGGATGCCGAGTATCGCAGCGGCCGGAACCATATACAACGCAAAACAGCGGAGAATCTAGTGCTGAGCGCTGAGCAGAGCAATGAATGCATAGCGAGCATGACGCGCCGCTGTAAACTATAAGTATTGTCGAGGACGGCGTAGAGGACGCGCGGAACGACCAGCGCAACAAGGAGTACAAGCGCCTAAGCGCGCTGAGGCGGCCGAGCGGATTTGGAAGGTGAAGCGCCAGCCACTGCTGACTAAGAACTGTAAAGGATAGCTCGGCATGGCACGGCACGAAATCCTCTTGTGGAGGGATCTGGTCGTTGGTAGCGGCAACCTCAGCAAGCTTCCAAGACCTCTAGCAAAATGTCTAAACGCGGTGAGCAGCGCCGATTCTGTGTCTGTGCCACGCAGAAATGCTGATGATGCATTTCCCGCTTCACAGGTTCGTACCAGACCTTAGACTTGTTTCCTATCGTACGGACTCACCAATAGACTGTGATTCGCAGTTGTCGGTGCCTCTGGCCAGAAGTATCGGATGACCCTCGGTCTCCCGACTGGTGCCGTTCTCAACTGCGCGGACAACAGCGGTGCGAAGTCGCTCTTCGTGATCGAACCCTACGGCACTGGTGCACGTTTGAACCGTCTCCCCGCCGCCTGTGCGGGTGACATGATCCTCTGCTCGGTGAAGAAGGGTAAGCCAGAGCTGAGGAAGAAAAGTAAGTGTCCATCTTTGAGATAGGGGAAAGAGGCTTGGAGGGATCCTTAGTCTTGGAGAGAGTCACTGACAATTTGCTTTGAATAGCCATGCCTGCTGTCGTAGTTCGCCAGCGGAAGGCGTGGCGTCGCCGGGACGGCGTCTTCCTCTACTTCGAGGTACGTACACAGTTAGCTCTATAGCTTGCTTCCATCAACGCGAGTTATCAGGACAACGCCGGCGTCATCGTCAACCCCAAGGGTGAAATGAAGGGCTCTGCTATCACTGGCCCAGTCGCCAAGGAATGCGTACGCCACTCCTTTCTATTTCTGCTCTACTGCAAACACCTTAACGACATTTGCAGGCGGATCTCTGGCCACGTATCGCATCAAACGCGGGTACTGTCGTATAAGCGTTCCTATCCTTATTTCCCAGTCTTCTCCTTCTCTCATGTTTTGTACTGCATATGACTGTGACCACAATGCTTTACTTTGGTTCCAATCGTCTTTGCGTACGCACAACAATGCATTCCGCGCGTTATTGCACGTCTGGCAGCACTGAGGATTTCTCGGGGAGTCGCTCTGCTGACGGTTCAGGTTGTTGCACAAGTCCTGCCATGTACGCATGTGGTGGCGGTTACGATTTACACTATACAGACCACAGTGGTGATTCTCAGGCGCTTACGTGCGAAGATCCACTCCGCAAGCACCTGCTAGAAGCCAGGCATGCACATGTGGCTATTCGAATCGCTCTTATGTTTAAATCACAGGGCATTCTCCATCACCACAGAGGCACATGCATGTCGTCACGAACCTCCGCCGGACTATGGAGAAGACTTGGGCTCGTGTGGTATCCCCCAGAGAAGGACTAAACAAGGCATATGGCCGGATCGATCATTGGTTGCTTTTGGTTGCCCGCCCGACTCGGAGCATACGCACAGTACGCTCCAGTGCACAATGTGGTGCGCAATGCGGTGCGCAAACCCGTGATGCATGCCAATCATGTTCTTTGATATGTCGCGGGGTTTGACCTCCAGCTTCGTTAGTGTGCATGGTGGCCTTCTCTGTTGTGCCAACGCGGGGGAGACCCTCGAGTCGTCCCGCGGAAGACTGTGTGCGGCCCAAGGCCCAGGTAGTGACGTTCTTGGACATTTCGAGCGAAGATCCCGCATTCGGCGTGAGCGATGTGTCGCTCCCTGCCACACGTAGACGTGTCCCGTGGCATCTTCGGAACAGTGCACCTTCTCCGAGCTTACTTATGGCAGGCGCATTGTTCAGAACAGACTTGCTAATTGCATTATAAGAGCAGCTTCTCCATGTCCCAGGTTCACCGAACCCTCGTCAGCCGCGCCCTCGTTGCCCAGCGATGGTCCACGCCGGTTTCAAGTTGCTACTCTTTGGCTTGCCGGCTTTCGTCGCAGGCGCATCCATCTCGACGCGGCATACACCGCGAGCACCTGCGACATCCAAGAATGTCATCGTCCAGATGTTCGAATGGACGTGGGACAGCGTCGCAGCGGAATGCACTGACTTCCTTGGTCCCGCTGGGTACGGCTACGTACAAGGTACGCTTCGTATCTCCCTGGTGAGCGTGGTTGCCGACTCCCCAGCAGTCAGCCCTGCCCAGGAGCACATCCAGGGCTCGCAATGGTGGACGGATTACCAGCCCGTGTCATATACCCTCACTTCAAAGCGAGGTGATCGGGACCAGTACGCAAACATGATCAATACCTGCCACGCCGCTGGCGTCGGGGTCGTTGCAGGTGTGTTTAAATTTCGAATACATCGTCTCCTGCTCCGGCGCAGTGGTTGATGCGTCACTCCAGACACCATTTTCAACCACATGACTGGTCAAGCCGATGGCGGCGTCGGCGTCGCAGGATCCTCGTTCCAATATTACGTTTATCCGGGAATTTACCAATCTCAAGACTTCCACTATTGCGGCTTGGAGCCTAACAATGATATCGTCAACTGGGACAACGCCGTCGAAGTGTTGACTTGCCAACTGGATGGCCTCGCAGAGTAAGCCCTTTCGGTTATCTTGAAGAACAGTCTGAGCTGAGTAGCCGACAGCCTTGCTACCGAGACGGAGTATGTGCGCAGCCGACTGGCTGAGTACGCCAACGATTTGCTTTCGTTGGGTGTCGACGGGCTGCGGCTGGATGCAGCGAAAGGTGGGGCATTTCTTTGTGCGACAGTAGTTGAGGTAATGATAGAAAATTGAAGACATCAACGCAAGTGATATCGCCAACATCACTTCTCGCTTCACGCGGGCTCCATACATCACGCAAGAAGTCATCTGGGGAGAAGGCCAACCTATAACCCCCAACCAATATGTCTACATCGGTGAGACCTACTTTTGCACTCGATGCGGGACTCAGCTAACAGCTGCTTTCAGGCGATGTACAAGAGTATGCTCAGCACAGACCCGTGATATTACGTGATACTTATGGTCGTACTTGTTTGCAGATTTCGCTACACTTCTGCAGTGCAAAGCGCCTTCTCAGGTGGAGGCATCTCCAGCTTGCAGAGCTTTGATAACCTTGGTGAGTCGGCCTCGTTCAACTTCTTTAGAGGCAGCTCAGAGTTTTGCAGGCTGGGTCCCCGGAACATCAGCAAATGTCTTCGTCGCCAATCATGATACTGAAAGGGTGGGTTCGCAGTGCGATCACACCAACGAAGCTTGACACTATGACGCAGGGCGGCGACTCGCTGAACGCCAACTCGCCTTCAAACACTTATGTCACCGCCATGATCTTCTCCCTCGCACATCCATACGGTACTCCGACCATTCTATCAAGCTACAGCGGCTTCACGGACTACGATGCCGGGGCTCCGAATGGCGGTAAGTATGTCTTTCAAATATTTACCGACCTGAATGTCTGATTATATGCGCTTTTGCAGGAGCGGGTACGTGTACCACAGGCGGCGGAACGAATGACTGGCTGTGTCAGCATCGATGGAACGCCATCGCAGGCATGGTCGGCTTCCACAACCAAGTTGGCAACACGGCTATGGACAACTGGGTGTCGCCGCAATCAGAGCAGATTGCATTCGGACGAGGTGCGAAGGCAACTTCGGATTCCTGCGTTCCTTGCCATTAAATCGACCGCGTACAGGCTCCCTCGGATTTGTCGCGATCAACAACGCGGACACCGTCTGGAGCACGACGTTCACAACCTCTCTGCCGGATGGGACGTACTGCGACGTCATCAGTGGCGTCAGCTCATCCGGAATGTGCACTGGGAGCGCGTGAGTGTTGTGTCTAGACCTTGTATCTAAGCACGGCTAATGGGCAAGCTGCAGCTTTACTGTCTCCGGCGGCACGTTTACAGCCGACGTGCAAGCGCATAACGCCATTGCCATCCACACCGGTGCAACTGGCGTCGCAAGTGCTACGATCACGATAAACTTTGCTGAAACCGCCACAACGACGTTCGGCGAGGCAAGTCGCTGACACCTAACTCTCGCAGGCGTGCTCATCATTCGACACTAGAACATCTTCTTAGTGGGTAGTGTTCCTCAGCTGGGCTCGTGGAGCCCCGACTCTGCGGTTAGCCCTTTCTTCTCACTGTCATGATCTTTGAGGTTGATCACCAAGATCCCCAACAGCTCCCTCTATCATCCTCCGGCTACCCAACATGGACGGTCTCGGCATCTTTGCCGCCGAACACGGCATTTGAGTACAAGTTTATCAGAAAGGAGACGAACGGGACTGTGAGTTCAGCATGCGGCATGCAGAAGGGTTGTTCTGACTGGACATGCAGGTCGTGTGGGAATCCGACCCGAATCGCTCTGCGACGACTCCGGGCTCAGGGTCGACGACGTTGACTACGAGCTGGAGATAGGTGAAGGTGCTCAGGCTGTGTCGATGACATTCAGACTCCCTACATGTAACCTAAAACTTATACACTATACTGTCTGGCTACCTTAACAGCAAAAGTTAATACACGCTGGTCATACCATGCCTCTTGCATGAGGAGTAACATGGGAAGAGGAAAGAAGGAAGACCTTAGCCTTCCATCTGCCGAGAATACAGTATAGGACCACTCCTTGGGACACCTGATCAATATTCGCTTCCCCTTCGTATGTTTCTCGCATATAAATACTAAATAAATCGCATTATATTAATAAAACATATGAAATACCTCAGTGCAAAGCTGCAAGGCGAAAAGACGAAAGCTGAAGTCAAGGCGAAGGACACAAGACGGAGGTGGTCCAGGACAGCGGCTACCACTCGTTGGGACAGGGTGACTGATGTGACAAAGGCGACAATTTGTGACCTGTACCAGCAGTCTTGGCAGAGGCGGCAGTCACGCGGCAGTCAAATTTGTCACGCCTCAGCCACGCCTAAGCTCAGTAGAATCATCTCTGATGTATTCCAGCTCGACACTTGGCATCTGAGCATTAAGCGCATTTTTCACATGAATGGAGCATAAATTCGGGTATTAACATATATTCTCGCAAATTTTAGGCTGACTGTGCGACTCTGGTGACGGTCGCAGCATCACTGAAGCCGGCGCGCTTGACAATTTTCGAGGCCTTTTGCTCCCCCACCTACGCTACAATCACCGGACGGCTCTGAGCTTCTAATGGCATATAGATATAGATGTATTATATACAGTCAAGTGGTAGCGATAGGCCCTACAGGCTGTGCGAGGGCAGAAAATACAGTGTCCCAAGGAGTGGTGCTGTCCCAAGGAGTGGTCCTAGCATGTTCGCGGGCGCCTGCTCGCGAAGTGGGCTGGCTTTGCACAACATACCAAGGGTCCTACTTCGACGCCACGATGCATTCAAACCTCTATGTGTTCTATCCCCACGTAGCATAAATGGAGCACTCTTCCATTATACAGAAACATTCGTTTACGACATGTCCAAGGGTTCAATTCGAAGACGAGTCAGCCAAGGACCAACCCTCCAAGCTTCAAAGACCCAACACGGCAAATATTGTGAGTTGAAGCCGAGACATATGGCAATGTTCGGGTCGAGCGGACTTTTTGAAGAGTCTGGAATTCTGGTGTGCATTGCCCGAAGACAATGCAATTTGCCGCAGGCTCGTGATGTCAGTGCGTGCCGGCCTTATGCTCCAGCCTCACCGGTGCTATATGCGTCGAAATTCGTTGTTGCGCCGGCGCCGGTTGACCCACCCCTGCAAACCTTGAGCTTAAGTAACGGCTTCTACTAGGACAAACTCATCGAACCTCATGGGTGGCGTGATGCTCCCTACCATAGGCATCTATACTCCGTGCCAACCCGGAATTTAGAGCAGATTTGACGGGCGTGCGGCAAGGAGAAAAGACTTGTGACGTCGACGTGCAGTATAAGTGGCTGTCTCGCCACATCCAAGCTTCGTTCAACTCCCAGGCCACGCTTCATTAGTGCAGCCATGGCTCGCAGCAGCCTCGCGTGTTTGCTCATCAGCCTGCTGACCTTTGTCGCTGGCAGCACATCCTCCCCGGCGCAGTTCCCCGTGCAAGCACCCGAAGCCCTCAAAAATGTCATCGTCCAGATGTTTGAATGGACGTGGGACAGCGTTGCGGCGGAATGCTATAACTTCATCGGGCCTGCCGGGTACGGCTTCGTGCAAGGTGCGCTCCGCGTTCCCCTCAGCAAGTACGATCGCTGACCTTCTTGGCAGTCAGCCCTGCCCAGGAACATGTCCAAGGTTCGCAATGGTGGACGGATTACCAGCCCGTATCATACACTCTCACCTCAAAGCGCGGAGACAGAGACCAGTACACTAACATGATTAATACTTGCCATGCCGCTGGTGTCGGGGTTATTGCAGGTGCGTCTCCCATGCCATAATCTGGAGGTCCTGACGGTTGAGACACGGCTTCAGACACTCTCCTCAATCACATGAGTGGTTCAGACGACGGCGGCGTCGGCGTCGGGGGGTCGTCATTCCAGCATTATGTCTATCCTGGAATATACGAATACCAAGACTTCCATCACTGCGGCCTAGAGCCCGACGATAATATCGTCGACTATAGTAATGCTGTCGAAGTCCAGACTTGCCAACTGGACAACCTGGCAGAGTAAGCTATCTTGGTTATCTGAAGGAATGGTCTAGACTGAATACCTGGCAGCCTATTCACGGAGTCAGAGTATGTGCGGAGCCGACTGGCGGCGTATGTGAACGACTTGCTTTCGTTGGGCGTCGACGGGCTGCGACTGGATGCGGCAAAGCGTACGACGTCTTCACGTTTCATGGCTGCCCATATAATAATTCATAACTGTAGATATCAATGCGAACGACATTGCCAACATCACTTCTCGCTTACGCCGGGCTCCGTACATCACGCAAGAAGTTATCTTCGGGACGGGCGAACCTATAACCCCCATCCAATATGTCAACATCGGTGAGAATTATTTTGGTACTCAGTACGGAGTTGTATTGACATTTGTCCTCAGGCGATGTACAAGAGTGTGTGGAGACTTATGATATCGCATAATGACAGGGCTCACAACATTGGCACTGGTTTGCAGGTTCCGCTACACTACCGCAGTACAAAACGCCTTTTCGGGCAGTGGCATCTCCGGCCTGCAGAGCTTCGATAACCTTGGTAAGCCCGCCTCCCCGGCTCTCCAAGAGATAGACATCTCACAGCTGCGCAGGATGGGTACCCGGAACATCGGCCAATGTCTTCGTTTCAAACCATGATACAGAGAGGGTAGGATGACTCTCCTGCCGTCTCGCGAGCTCATATTCAACTGCGTGTCACAGAATGGCAACTCGTTGAACGCCAACTCGCCTTCAAATATCTATGTCACTGCCATGGTCTTTTCCCTCGCACATCCATATGGGATGCCGACCATTCTCTCGAGCTACAGTGACTTCACGGACTACGATGCCGGGGCTCCGAATGGCGGTAAGCGTGGTTTTTGTATACCAAACGGCATGAAAGTCTGACTATATGCGCCATCCCAGGAGCGGGTACGTGCACCACGGGTGGTGGGACCAATGGCTGGCTATGCCAGCACCGATGGAACGCCATCGCAGGCATGGTCGGCTTCCACAACCAAGTTGGCACCGCGGCCATGAACAACTGGGTGTCGCCGCAGTCGGAGCAGATTGCGTTCGGGCGAGGTGCGGGGATGTCTTTAGACTCCAGAACAGCTTGCTGAGGTGCACACGTCTAGGCTCTCTCGGTTTTGTCGCGATCAATAACGCAGACGCCGTCTGGACCACGACCTTCGCCACTTCTCTGCCGGATGGGACGTATTGCGACGTCATCAGTGGTATCAGCTCGTCCGGAGTATGCACAGGGACTGCGTGAGTGTCGGATTTATCCCAAAAATCGCAGCATGACTGACAGGCGAGCTGCAGGTTCACTGTTTCTGACGGAAAGTTCACGGCTGGCGTGCAAGCTCGCAACGCTATTGCCATTCACAGTGGCGCAACGGGCACCGCAGGTGCTACGATCACGGTGAACTTTGCAGAGAATGCCAATACGACGTGGGGCGAGGCAAGTTGCCAGCATTCTAGTTTCGAAAGCGCGCTTATCATTCGGCATCAGAATATTTTCTTGGTGGGCAGTGTTCCTCAGCTGGGCTCGTGGAGCCCCAACTCTGCGGTCAGTCTTTCCCGTTCACCGCCACGTTTCTGGGAGCTAAAGGCAAAGTGCATCGCAGCTCCCTCTATCACCCGCCAGCTACCCCACGTGGACCGTCTCGGTGTCTCTGCCTCCGAACACAGCCTTCGAGTACAAGTTCATCAGGAAGGAGACGAACGGAACTGTGAGTGTGCTTGCGATGTGTCGGAGAGCGATGCTAACCGAAAATTTAGGTTGTCTGGGAATCCGACCCTAATCGCTCTGCAACGACTCCGGGCTCGGGGTCACTGGATTTGACTGAGAGCTGGAGATAGGAGAAGGTGTGGACGACATCCGGACCCCTGAAAATGACCAAAACTTGTGCATCGACGAGTCCTTTTACTTTGGTATTGCGAGTCAATTGCCGATGTCGACTGTAACGGATGAACGATGTTCAGGAGCGAATTCTTGCGCTTCAAGCCAGACGAGCGATCTCACGACATTACGAATCATTAGATTAACAAACTTTGGTCTACTCTGAAGTCCACAAAAACGGGACGTTGCGTAGCCCGGTATGCGTACTATGCTACTACACTACTGGGTTCCGCAGGGGCGCACCAGCGAGCATGCTCACGGGTTGCGGACCTGCGCGGTCTCGGCAGTGTTGAAAGCGTAAGGCGACTTGGCGGAGGCCCAGCCGCTGCCCTGGACGGGGTTCGCATTCGCGTCGTACGACGCGGCATCGTAGGTCGTGCGCATCGCGGGTTGGTTGTTGGGCGTCGGTGCCTGGACGTTGAACGTCGGGTTCTTCCTCTGCTCCTCGTCCTCCGCTTCGTACTCCTCCTTGAGTTGACTGAGGTAGCTGAAGACGATGAAGATACCCGCTGAGCCACAAATCAGATTCGGTTAAGATAAGGGGGAGAGGAGGGGGGCGTACCGAGCTGGAAGCACCAGATGATGACGAAGACGACGACGAGGACGGCGCGGATGACGTCGAAGCCCGCGTGGCAGAACCAGTGCTTGACCTCCTCGGCGTCGCCCGTCGAGCTGCCGACACACTTGCTCACATCGCTGTCCTCGGTGCTGTGGAAGAGCGTCCAGACGAAGTAGATGCCGACGACGATGATCAGCAGCGTGTTGACAGTCACAGTGTACGCATAGAAAGCGATGCTGCCGCGCCCGCGCGTGAGGGAGCCGATGAGGCTGTGTGCGCGCGTGTGTCAGCGAAGGCGGTTATCAGTAGTGCGGCGGTGCGTACCCGACGATGGCAATCAGGGCAAACCAGGTGTAGGATAGGCTGACGAACCAAAGTCCTAGCTTCTCGTGCGTGCTCAGATCAAGGGTGCCCTTGACTGCATGACAGCAGAGTCAGTCTCCAAAGCATCTTGCGCCACGCGGACGTGCGACTCACAGTAATTGTGGACTTGGATCCATCCGAGGACGCCAATGGCACCACCGCCGATGAGGCCGACGAGGGCCATGCAGAAGACACCGAACCTGACGGGCAGGCAGCAGCAGAACGTGCGGGAGCGAACGTGGCCCATTCTTCAATTGCGTAGCGGGTCGTTAGAAAAAGACTGGAGAGAAATAGACTCGTCCGAAATTAAAACGCGTGGACTTCGAAGGGGCAAAAAGGTAGAATAGACCGAAAGAATAGATGAACGAAAGGAAAGTCGTGAAAAGGGTAGGGGCCAGCCTGGAGAAACCTCCGCTCGCAGCCCAAGAGGTTTAAATACGACTGGCGATGCCACATCAAGACACGGACTCGGTGATGTTTCAGAGGAGGGGGCTGATGTGACAGCGGGTATGCTGTGCGAGAGAGTCGCGCAATGCACAGGGCAAACGAGGTCCCTAGATACCGTTGATGTTTGAGGCACTATTTTGCTGGTAGAAATATGCCCATCTTGGAGCAAGCGACGGAGGAGTGAGAAGAGACACGCATAGTCTCAATATGACGATAATGTGGTCCTCACAGAAAAAGAGGCGCGTAAGGACTTGCTTCAGGTGGCGCCGCGTGATGGCAAATGTCATGCTCACGAAAGTTCGCACTCTTGGCTTTTTGCCGAAGACGGGGAGACGGTTGTATATCTCTCCCAGTCTTCCTCCGAGCAACTAATGCTGATGGCAACAGGATGAGTAGTCTGTTTTTGGCAGGGTGGTGGCGAGTGTTGATTGACGTCACTAGAGGACGTCACTATCGAAGCACTCTCCACTCTACTGTATTCAGGCCTTCATGAAGACCATAGTCGGCCAAGCCATGTCATCGACCCGAACGTATATAAAGCCTTGGGCCGACACCACCTAGTGTTGTCATGCTTTCTCGTGCCCTGTTTACACCCTCAATCCGCCGTTCGACCCTCCAGCTTGCTACGGCTCGTACTTTCGCCACTACACCGAGACAGATGGCGCAGAAGACTCTCTTCCAGGCTGTCAAGGAAGACCATGAGGAGGTGTGGATTATATATCCCCTATTTGATCCGATACTGATGTTAAATGTTGTCACAGATGTACGAATATCACGACCAATATCAACGGGCGTTCGCCAAGGGCGATGTTGAAGCCTGCGCACGCTGGGCTCATCAGCTGCGCTGGGAAATTGCGCGCCACGCCGTTGGAGAGGAAATTGTTGTCTACCCGTTGATGGAGAAGCACCTCGGCGACAAGGGAAAGGAGCTCGCCGATCACGACCGGAGCGAGCATTCGGTACATAAACTCTGATCTTGTCATCATTCACATTTGCTTATAGGATGTCCAACAGCAAGTCAAACAGGAGCTGTACAAGCTTGAGGGCATGCAGCCCGGAACCGAAGAGTACACTTCGCTTCTAAACAGGATGATGACGAGTCTGCACCACCATAATGATGATGAGGAGATTGACGACCTGCCTCTGCTCGAACCCGCCATTGGTGAGGCCGCCAGTATGGAAGCAGCCCAAGACTTTAAGCGGACGAAGAAGTTTGTTCCTACAAGGTATGCACCTCAGGTATCTCCCGGCATGGCTTTCATTCTGAAGACGGCGATCTCAGGGCACACCCAGCTGCACCGAACCAACCCCCTATGGAGACTTTGGTCGGATTTTTGGCAGCCCCTGTGGACAAGCTCTTGGACGTGTTCAAGAGCTTCCCGAGGGAAGACGAAATGAAAGCCGCCAAAGAAGAGCTCAAGCACCGTGATCACGACGCGGCCGCTGGCCGCCAAGCTACCGTGCAGTAAATTCTATTGGAGCCTTTCAGAGAAAAAGTCAGCCGTGCACGAGTATCGTTGTTTTGTTTCTGCGCTCAATGATGTCAATAAGCTCTATTATATCATTATAGGATTGGGATCAGACTCACAAAAGCGTCTACATTATGAAGTCCTGTAACGCTTCATTACGTACTGGAAACGTTTGCATTATTGAGACAGCCACCGTCTGGTCAGCAAAGGTCGCAGAACACTAGATTAAGCGCCTGCTGCCAGCTCAAGGCGCACGAGCTGTGTACCTGGGAATAGACGTTGTGGTTATGTAGAGAATACTTCATTGGAGTGTAGCCAAAAGATGCGGTGTGTCAAGATACAACTTAGTCATGCCCGTCAATCATTATCGCCCAGGAAACGTCTGTCTAGTAGCCCACGCTTTCGAGGTAGTCGGCGAGATTCTCGACGACAGGAGTGGTTTCTCCAGCTTGCAAAGGCCCGACATAGACCGCGACGAGGATCGCTTGCTTGGTCTTGACGATCACACAGCCGTCAGCCTATACGCGCAAGAGGACAATCAATACGCCAAAAGGCCTGAGCGGGGGTTGAGTCAAAAGGTACGCACGCCCTTCTTGCCGTAGATACTACGCCCTTCCGCCGTGGTCGTGATGTACTTCTGGCTAGCGAGGCGGACGCCGCTCGCGCGGATCTGGTCGAGGTTCGCATGCGCGCCCACGATTGCCTTCTGCTCCTCTGCGCTGAGCTGTAGGAGTGATCGCGTCAAATCGCGCGGGTAACACGCGAAGAAAGGCGCACGTTGAAGTTTGCAGAGTGTGCCCAGATACCTCCCTGTTGGCCAACGATGGCGGCGTGTGTGACCTTCCCGGTGCCAATAAGGTTGGTATCGACGTATGCTGGCCGTCACAGCAAGTCTCAGCGACTTTCGGCGCATGTGCAGCTACAGAACAGACCTTGCCACGACATGATTATTCAAGAAAAGACGAGAGCGGAGCACAGAAAGAGGAAGAATGAGACGGGAGGTGTGACGAACAGCAGAGATGGGACGGGTTGCGTTATAAAGAGGCCTCTGCTGCTTTGAGGTCGCTCTCTCAGCCGGCTCGGAGATCGCCTGAGATATGATCGCAAGCGGATCAGTCGACTTCTCATTACGACCTGCGACAACTGGGCGGCCTGCATAATCGTCAAGCGCAACAGCGGCGACCTACTCGCGAGACAGAGGCGGACGAGGCGGCTGGGAAGAAGGTTCGCACTATGTGCGGCGGAGGGAGGCGGGCAGGCAGAAAGAAAGGCATAGACGCTCACTGGCTGGTGATAGACAGGCTTGCACGTCAGCTACCACCCTCTTCATCGACCCTTTCTGGACGACGGCATGGTGGACGACAATTCGCAGGTTCTATCGCTCGGTGATCAGTTAGACGTCGCGTCGGCTCTCTCTGTGCGCTGTAACGAACTCAGCATCTCAATGGCCGGTGACCTTCGAGAATCTGACGAGCCGAGTAATATGACTACCTCTAACTGGAGCTCTTGGTTACACTACGGCGAGCCGCTCTCGGTCGACGACTACCCTAATCTCACGCAGCGCCCACCAGAGCTACCTCCGTTGGTACCAATCGTCATCTCGGACCACTCTGCTGGACCAAGCGGAATAGACGTGGAATCGGGCGGCGACACTCAGCTCGGCCTGGCAGTTCTTCTCGAGGAATTGGAGCAGCTGGCCGTACAAGCCAAGTTACTTCCTATCCCGAGACCTCCGACACTTTCTCTCACTGACCTTTGTGATATCTTGACTCTGCCCATGGACATCAGCATCCCGTCTATTGATACGGTCAGTCTAGCTGGCATTCTTACATCGTCAAATCTCTTCATCTAGTTGCAGGAACTTGCCGAAGCGCACATAGCTTATGACTCGTCCCACACTGCTAGAAACGCTATCTCGGCTCCTGCTCGAATCACTGTCCGCGATTTCGATCAGCCCTCCGCCGAAGCGCCGCAGGCGTTGAGTATCCGGCCTGTCGCCTTCGAAGACTCTGGCTATGCCTCCGGACCCTCATCACCTGCCTTCTCTGAGCTGTCTTACCACTCTGATATTGAACGGACTCCGCGCAGCTACCATCGTCCTCGTGCACCGAGTCCTTTGACGCCCGTCACGCCGGACTTTGCTTCATTCCCGTCCGCTCTTCCCGCAATGCACTCCTCGTGCAGAGAGCCGGAACACACACCTGTCCGCACTGCGAATCCAGAACAGTTCTCTCCCTGCTTGCCTACAACACCACATACATTACCGAAGTCTCACGCGTCAGCCCTCCGTTCCAGCTCACTCGATGCTGCAAGGTCGGCGCAACCCAGCAAGACCAGGTTCCTTCCCATCAAGAGCCTCATTTTGAACCGCAAGCGCTCCCTCGCCGCGAAAGACTTGCATCTGCCGCTCCCTCCTACAGAGCCCCTTCCACGCGTTTCACTAGACGCCCCTCGCTCCGCTACCTCTGCCTCGTTCCTGGACTTCAAGATCGCGAAGCGCGGCCTGCGTCGGCGCAATTCGGAAGCCTTGCTATCCACTAAAACTCCAGTCGTTGACACGCTGCAGTATGAGTCTTTCCTGTCGTTTTACTAGAGCTTTATCGGCTTCTCTCGTTGTCGTATACCCTGTTACTGGATTTTTGCCCGTCTATATCCTTATGCATGTGTATTATTACCATCCTGGTGTATTCTCATCATCTATGTTCGCTCCCGACCTCAAAAATCTCGGAAGTGGTGGTGCCATCGTTCCGTCCTCTCGACCGAAAAAGTGACAAGTCGCGTGATGCGTGACGTTGCGTGGGTTGCTGTAACGCGTTTCCATTTCTTAGCGCGACCGTTTCCACCAACGACTTTTTCTCATTGCTCGCGCTTGGAACCCGTATAGATGCCACATAATTTGGTGTAATTAGGCGTTCCATGTTAGACACTCTCGGTGAACCTCTCGATGATCTCAATTTACAGTACACTGACTGACTTGCGTTATAGCCTGTCCTGCCACGTATCGATGCCTCGCGATTGTCGAAATCCTGCGAAGAATCGTTGGCTTTACGACGGAAGATACTCTCCATACTGTTGCCGTTCTGTCGCGCACAAGTCGGCTCTTTCATGACGTGGCACAAGAGGCGGTCTGGGAAGACCAAGCGACGCTTCTGAATCTGTTTCACTGTCTCCCGGGAGATGTCTGGGACGATACTCGAGAGGTGAGCCGTGAGAATGTGTACAAGACCGCCCTTCTCATGCACCGTACTGCAGCTATGTTCTTTCTTACGACCACCTAACCCTTCCGAGTGGAAACGCGTGATGGCCAATGCCGCGCTTGTGAAATCGCTTAAGCTAGAGAGCAACGATTGCGGACTCTTGGGCCCGGATTGGGGAATTATTGCCCTCCACTGTCCGGAAAAAGTTCTATTTCCGAACCTGAAGGAGCTCGAGTGGGAAGACAACGACGACTGCGAGGCGCTCTCGCACGCACACCTGCTTCTCGGACCAAAGCTACGGAACCTTGCACTCAAGCTGGGCGCCGATGCCCACGTGAGCACTGCTCTTGAAAGGCTCACGTCGCTCCTCGACACCGTCGCATGCCAGCGCCCCCCATTACGCGAGTTATACGTGCCCATCGAAACCGGGAGCGTAGCTCTTTGCAAGGCGCTGGGAAAGGTCATCCAGTCCGTAGAACTGGAGACATTCGAGAGTACCGTGCCTCTCACCCAGGAACAGATCATCGCGGTGGCAAAGTCGCGTTCTCTTGAGATAGTAGACCTCCACTGCACATCATCTTTGGACATCAACGACGAGGTCTTCAATGAAGAGGGCGTGTTTCCTGCCATCGCGGCTCTCTACATGAGCGTTAAAAGCTTGGAATTGCACTCCGTACGCCGCCTTTTCCTGGACGCCAGCTCGCCGGACTTGGGAACTATACATCTCAAGTGCACTAAGGATCCTCGTGAAGAGACTCTGGTAGAGTTTCTCGAGGGGCTGGCGAAACGACCGAGCGCGTTTCACATGCGGTCATTAGAACTCGTGTTTGCGAAGGACGCCTATCGTAACTCCCCTCCGCCCGCAGAACAACCAGAACACGTGCTTGGTCCTAGAGTTCTGGCGGCAGCATTCGCCCTCAAGTCCCTTACTCAGCTGCGTATCAAGTCCCGGAACCTGGACATCGATGACGAGACAGTTCACCAGATTGTCCTCAACCTCCCTCAGCTGCAATCGCTCCTTCTCCTTCCGACTTGGTACTCGGGAAGGCCGTCGAAATTCACCTTCAGAGCGATCGCGCTGGCGGCGTCCGGTCTGCCCTGTCTGAAGGAGCTCGGCCTGCCCCTGAACATCGAGGGAGCGCACTTCCCTGTGCCGTACCCTAATCAGTGGTACAACCAGTCGTGCACGAAACTTTACGTCGCGGATTCCCCGCTGACCGACGAGCGCATCGAGGACGTCGCCGTCTTCCTGTCTATGTGGTTCTGGTACCCGGAGCTGCAGATCATCGCGTGCGAGACGGGCGTGCCCGGCGACAGGTTGCGTACCCGGGAGAGGGGCAAGCACAAAGCGGCGTGGGAGAAGTGCCAGAAGCTCCTCCGTCCGCTGAGCCGCGCTCGCTACCAGGAGCGATTCCGATACGGGCTCCCCGATGCGCCTTGGACAGTGTCGTACTCTGTCCCGCTGCTCTGGCGGGCAGAAAACGACAAGTCCCGACATCTGCCTCTCATACCGCAGTACTCGCCTACCCCTCTATGAGGACGCCCCAGAACGCTTGAAACCTTCAGTCCTATATACCACGAAACTTATACGCGGCTAGAGCGAGTGACAGTTCATGGAGAGCATGTACGTCACTCGCTCTCCTGCTTTTACAGGCCCGAATGTCCGCGGTACTAAGAGGCTACCTAACTTACAAGTTAACCTCGTACCTGCTTACACTTACTTACGCTTACTTAGTTTTACTTACACTCACTTACACTTAATTACTGCACCTTACATATAGACGCTTATATATTGGCCGTAAATGGTAACCGAAGGTGTCGTGAAACGATGTCAGTTAACGTGTCAGGCTGGCGATTTCTGGCACGGAATGAAATTTCATCTAGTCAATCTATATCTATGTATCAAGATTAAGACTAATTAGATAGAGGCTATACATCTAGTACGTTCAGTTAGGGAGCTTCTGGAACCGCTCTGGAGCAACCGAACCATCAGCGAAGGGGTAGTCGGTATATCCCTGCGGGCTTTCGACGTTGTAGTATGTCGAACGATCACCCTTGTCGACGGGAATATCCTTCTGCCATCGTACCGGCAAGTCAGGCTGCAAATCATAAGATGGTCAATACTATCCAGGACTTCGAGCATGCGTTACCGACGTACGTTCGAGATGAATAGCCTGCCGGCAGCGATTAAGTCACCCTTCGTCTCAGCGACTTTGAAAGCAAGTTCGCGATTGTAACCACCGGCACTGATGAACGGCCGCTCGCCCCAAATTTCTCTCAGGGAGTCATTTGACTAGAGAACGATCAGCGGGGGGTTGACCAGACGCCGCGGACTGGGAAACTCACCTCCCCTTCCTGGACCTCTCTATCGCTGCTACCCTCCACACGGGGCTCAACACATGAATATATGCCAACGATGACCACTGTCTTG